GCTCCACCAAAGGAATATGATGAGATGTTTGTTTATTATATCCCGCCAATATTAGGTTATGAAAAGCGATGCTTGCTCTTTTCTTTTCTTTTTTCCGTTCAAATTTCTATTATGAATTATTTAGCAAAGACAAAAGGGAAACATTATTCATTCGTTTGTTTCATTTTGCACATGTATACTGTTGTGCTAATTCATAAATATTTCGAGGAAGACGAAGATGTTGAGCAAGTTACAGATACCTCTTCCCCGGGCGCCCACTTTCTCTTATAGCCAAACAAAGAAACGTTTCAACCTTCTATTATGATTGTAATCAACACAAGCAATTCATATGTTTCGTCTATAATTTTTCTATGATATATCCCACCAAGTAGGTCCGAGTGGAATCTCACTAATGCGCCCAATTGCGATTCCTACAAGGAGCATCGTCGCAGTCAACGTATTAAATAAAGATGACGTAACCTATCAAGGCTCAGAGAAATTTCCAGGAAGGTTCCCTTTACTTTAGGATAATGTCATGTACAGTGCTTGTTCATCTTCATGCTTCATGTGGAAGCAAGGAAGACGGCAAAGAGCCTATCACAAGCTATTAATGTCGTGACAAAGTTAAATTTGGCAATGGCCCCATCTAATATTATCTTAAGCTTTATGCAGGATTATGCAACGCCATATTGGAGAAAGACCGCATGTATCTTCCTGTCAAAGTAAAACCCTTGACTTAAAGGTGACATTTCATGTTCGCTTTTTCCATCTTCTAACGGTCAATGCTAGCGGTGGTAAATAGTTCCAAAATGCAAGACAAATTGTAAGCATCATAACAAATTTAAAATGACAACTTAATTTCTATGGAAGAGCTAACGAAGGGCAACTATAATGGGATTTCTATGCACTGACTATCAAGCCAAAGTTTGGGAAGAGGAGTGCTTGGGGTGCAGATGATGTACGGCAAGGTTAAAGTCCCAGCATGTGCAGTGAGGGCAAGATTTTAGCTACTGCTCGTTAGGGGTCATTTGTTCTATGTTATTTTTATCATACATTCGCGTACGCAATCACACACAATCACTTTGCACACAATACTCAAGAACCCTAATTTCTCAAGAGGGAGCAGAAAGAAATTGAAAATTCCCGAATAGACATTTGCTTTATAAGCGGAAAAAGGACAATTTTAAAGGAAAGGGGAAAAGGAGGGTTGCTTCTAAAGTGTGATTGAAGACGAGCCAAGCATTTCCCGATGCATGTAGCAGAGCACGAACCTAGAGACCCCCGGATATTTTCCCTGCTATAAATATACAAAAAAAAAATACAATGCATTGTTAAAGTAAAGGTTTCTTGGAATCGTAGCCGTACTTCGTCCCACATGCATCCCACTCCCCAAAGTCATGACAGCATGTGGGTTTCGTACATCCAAGTTGTTTTCCCCTTTCTTTTTAAATGAAAAAAAATACCAAATAGAGTCCCTCACCTTTTGCTCTCTTTACCACTTGTCATCCTCTATATCTCAAAATACTAATGGGCATCATGGGAAAAATTTTAGATAAGGACCTAAAATTTTCTTATTTTCTCAAATGAAAATATGAATTATTCTTATTTTCTCAAATAAGGATACGAAGTAAATCTTGTTTCAAATAAGCTTTTGAAGTGGTTACGTCAATTTCAAAAAATTATCTAACTTTCCAGATGGTCAATAATATTTTCGTTCTTTACCTTTTCTTTGATTTTTTTTTCCTTTTTATGGTTTTTTTTTTCTTATTTGTTTGCCGTCGACCATCGGCGATGCTTGGAGAGGGCTGACCTCACCTAGATCTAACCTCATCGACCATAGGTAAGGCCGACCCTTGAGACCGCCCTCGCCTTGGCAAGGGTTGCGTCGCCCGTGGCCGGCGATAGGCGAGGGCCTGGTCCTTATTTAAAAAAAAAAGAAATGAGAAAAAGAAAAAAGAAAAAATAATTTAAAATTATCTTTAAACGAAAAATGCCCTTGACCGACCATCAAAATTTAGCCGACCGGCGACTAGCGAGGTCGGGTCCTTATTTGAAAATGTCATAACCATTTCAAGCCCTCATTTTGAGACTAGTGCTGACACTTCAAGCCTTTATTTGATACAAGATTCACTTTAAACCCTTATTTGAAATAAGTGAGGGTTTGAAAATGAAGCCCTCATTTTGAACTTTTCCCGAGCATCATGAGTTTTTTACCTTTGCTGCCAAATTGCACCTCACCTCAATGTTCTTAAATTGGAAACCGGACCTCGATCCGATCCGATTATTAGGTCAGATTCGGATATTTCAAAACCCGAACCAGACCGATTTAAGCAGCGATTCAACTGCCGAACCGGCGAATCAGGCAGCTGTTTGATCCTGCATTGGCCCCAGTTGGGCTCCGTTTTTGAACGTGACCCGCGAATTGACTTCCCATTCTGGACCGTCGGTTGGGCTCCGATGCGGTAAACGTAGACTTTGACCAACCGGGCATCTAGGTCGGCATGTAACGTGCTTCGTGTTCGGAGGCTAAGGTATTTTTGTTTTTTCAGCGTGTTTTTTTTTTTTCCAAGGGAGGGCAATTTAGTCTTTTCATTTACGAGCGCTTTTTTATCTCGAGATCTGAAGCGGTACAGTGAAAAGTAAGACGGATGGAAGGCGACAAGAAAGTGACGACGCGAAACATATCTAAAAAAGAAACCAAAGCAATAATAGTTATCCCAAAGCGAAATTACATGGCCACGAAGAAAATTTTATGTATAAATAAATAAATAAATACTTATATATATTTATATTAACGTAAAATACGAGTTAGATCGTGCCGCGCTCACTCCGATGCACACGTGCGCGGGGCGGGAGACACGCGCGGGGACACATCCCGTTCCGACGCTTTACGGCTCCTCCGAAAGAAAGCGGCTTATAGCCGAACCGCTCGAGCCAGCTTGGCTGGCTGGCGCCGCAGTCGCCATCCAAAGCCCGTCCTCCACGTCACTTCTTGGCTGTCGACGGAACCGGACAGAGCCAAACCCAACCACGGTCAAAAGTAACTCGACCGCGGTTAATCTCGCCGGGCTTCGCACGTCAAGCCACAAGGGGCGAAAGCAACGTTTCGGCAGCCGGATAACCACCCCCCCTGGGGGCCCGAGCGAGCGCACGTGAGCCCGTTCCGTTCCAATCGATTCGACAATTAAGATAAAACGGGCTCACGTACTCCGAATCCGCGCAAATAATTTCCCCCCTCCCGTGCTGCTTCGCGCGGGCCGAGGATTAAGATAAAAGTGAAAAGCCGCAGATAAGCGCGATTAGCCCTTTATCTCCTTTTTAATCGACATGACCTCCCCCTAATCTAATGACGCCCTCCGGATTTAATTTGAACGACCCACCTTTTTTTTTGGCTTTTGGTTCTTTTTGTATGGCCCCATGTTAATTTTAAGGTTCCGGATTAGGTGGGTGTTGAGGGTGGGGTTGGCGATTTAGCCGAATAAAACGAGTGGATGACATGACTCCGACGTCGTGCACTATCCACCGGTTTGGCCCCTTTAAGCTCCCCCTTCTCTCTCTCTCTCCCTCTTTCTCTAGACACTTCTTCCACTTGGGTGGTCCCTTTCGGCTACGCGTGATAAAAACCAAATTCCAATTTTTATCGTGGGGAAATCGAATTAAATGTGCCGAATTTTGTCCTTGGGCTCCCTGATCTATACAACTCGATCGTGGCCCCTTGTGGCGGTAAAAGCCGGATAAAAAAAGGGTCAATTGAGGAGGATAGGGCTAATCATGATTAGGTCCAATGATTAATTATTAATCCTCCCACCCCGGCTCTCGACGATAGGACAATCGATTGCGGCACCAAAAAAAAATGGAAATGAAAAAAAAGAAATTTAAAGAAAAAATTTACGTTTGCTTCATCCTCACGCGTACTTGACTGGATTCGAGCTAGCAAGTGGGGGGGGAAGTGGGGCCCCCATCCCTGCTGGCACGGGCATGGTTGATTGTGACCCGCAACGCGCAACGCTCCCTGGTCAAAGCTTGGTGTGAGGGGGGCAATTTTGCTGTTGGCCCCCTCCACTTCCTCTCTAACCTTCATTTCAGTCCCCACACATAACAGGCATTTTGCAATTGGACCCCCCCGTGTTTTTTCCTTTGCAATTCCGAATGTTCCTTCTTACCACGGATTCTAGGGTTTCCCGTGTTTATTCCAATTTTTCCTTTTTTCAAGTGTGTGATTTCGAAGAAAGAGAGTCGAGATCGGGCCCCCACAGGTGAAAAGGGCGATGGCTGACGGGTTCGTCGTTTTCGTGCGGTTTGGTTTTAGGAGCTATTTGATCATTGCTACAATTCAAACAGAGTGATCCGTAGAATTAGATCCGATGATAATTCAATGCATAATTGTCAAAGTCACGAGCCGCGCGCGCGCGCGCCATTTTAAAGATTCATTTCACTACAGAGAAAGAGAAAAAGGAGGCTCGAAAGTGTTTTTGTTCATTTCACATGGGCGAAAGGCGAGGCCGTGGTGTGCAGATTTGTCAAAAAGGGGGGGTGGGAAAATTGGGAAAAGAAAATATCGGGGCGCGATCCTTGATGGCAAAAGCATAACCACTCCGCAATCTGAACGCGCGACCCTCCCCGCACTCGAGACGGAACTTACGAAGAAGGATCGCGGCCCGCAGTTCTCGTGACCGACACCTGCCGGTCCCCGCGACGGACACGTGCCGGCGGCACGGGCCCCCCCACCGGGACACGCGTCGCCCCGCGATTGGGGGCCAGGTCAAGCGGTGGAAAAGGCGAGGGCATCATCATTACCGGTAGATGGCCGCGGGGGGCATAACGGTCAATTCGCAGGCGGGGAGAGCATCGAGGGGGCTGAGGGAAGAAAAATCGTAAACAATGCTCGAAAGGGGTCTATATAACGGAAGGGACGAGGCGGCCATGATCAACGAAGTGCGAGGTCTGAGAGAGATTCACAGAACAGAACAGCAGAAAAAAGAGTGCGCTCGCGTCGTCTTCGTCTTCTTCGTCTTCTTCTTCGACGCTTTCCTTCCCCCCCTCTGTAACATCCCGCTTCTCCGAGTCCCTTTCTGTTAATCATCTGTCTTTCTACAGAAGTTTGCGATTTCTTTTCTTTTTCTCAAAACGGTTTGTCCTCTAGGAATTTTTTCAGAGAAGCAAACTCGGAAGAGGAGAAAAAAAAAAAGTTGGAAATTTTTTACAACGAAAGCCAGGTGTTTTCAGAATCGAGATCCAGGAGCTCCCTGTTTCTTTTTCCTTTGTTGGGTTTTTCTTTGCTTGGTTTGATTTTTTTTTTTGTGTAGAATTTCGATCCGGCCAAGAGGGTGTCTTTTTGTTCCCTCCCAGGTTGATCCCGTAGGCGTTTCTTGGAGCGACGGAGGTTGTGTATTTGTTAAAACCTCTCAAACCCCCCCTTTTTGGAAAGATTCTTGTTTTTCTTTTGGTTCTCTCGTGTTTGTTCTTCTTCTTGTTGTAAAGAAGCTTTTTGCAGATTTTCTGGGTGTGTTGTTATGGCAGCTACCATGGAGTTCTACAGCAGCAGCAGATCGGCTCTCCCATCGTACCCGTTTTCTTCCAACGGTGGTGATGAGCTGATGGAAGCTCTCTGCCCTTTCATCGGCGGCTACGATGCTTCCACATCTACCCCTTCTTCTCTTCCCTCCCCCTCCTACTGCTCCTCTTCTTCTTCTTCTGTCTTGTCCTTTGAGCCCGCGTCGTCGTACACCGATGGCTGCACGATCCGGCCGGACCCTCTCGGCCTCGAGCTGCCCGGTCCGATCGGGCTCAACCACCTCACCCCATCCCAGATCAACCAGATCCAAGCCCAGATCCGGTTCCCGAGCCCGAGCTTGCCCCCCTGCCACGGCTACGGCTGCCACCCGAGCATGCTTCTGGGCCCGAAGCCCGTGTCCATGAAGGTTTCGGGCTCGGCGGCGAAATCGGCCGTGAAGCTGTACCGGGGCGTGAGGCAGAGGCACTGGGGCAAGTGGGTCGCCGAGATCCGGTTGCCCAAGAACAGGACCCGGCTCTGGCTCGGCACCTTCGACACGGCGGAGGAAGCCGCCCTCGCCTACGACAGGGCCGCCTACAAGCTGAGGGGCGACTTTGCCCGGCTCAACTTCCCCCACCTCAAGCACTGCGCCGCGGCCGACATCGGCGACGGCGGGTTCAAGCCGCTGCACTCGTCGGTCGACGCGAAGCTGGAGGCCATCTGCCGGACCCTCGCCGAGAAGCAAGCCGACGGCGCCAAGAAGCCCACGGCCTCAGGCCGATCCCGAGCGGCCGCCGCGGCCGCAGCCGCAGCCGCAGCTGCCGCCGCTCGGGAGGTTTCTTCGGCTTCGGAGGCCTCGGAGGCGACGGAGGCAAAGGGATCCGAGCCGGAGAGCGAAGGGTCGGCGGGGTCGTCGCCGCTGTCGGATCTGACGTTCGAGGATTTCGTGGAGACCACGTGGGAGTGCGTTTCGTTTCCGGAGACGTCGACCTTGCAGAAATATCCGTCGGAGATCGACTGGGACGCGATCTGATGTCTAAAAATTGCTTTCTTTTCCCTGTTTTTCCGTTCCTGTGTAGTCAATTGTTAGCTTGTGTCTTTGGTAGACCAAATTCAGGAAGGCTGGAGCGGTCGCTGCGATGGAATTTTTGGGAGTTGCAGTAGAGACTGCTCTTGCTGTTTGCCCTTTGTTAGATTATGGATAGTCTTCCCAGAGTCAAAACCATGTGATTTTTAGGGGGTTTATTTCACTGTGATTAGTTTAGCTAATATCATCATCATGTAACCAAGAAGTGGTGCCTTGTTCAGCAGAACCTTTTTGTCTGCTGAGCGATGGTCGTTCTTATGTAATTCGTTTTGTCTATGTAAAATTAATGGGTAGTAGTTCTGTAAACCATTGATCCTGCTCGTCTTTGCACCGTGATAACCGAAGATGGATTGAAAACTTCGACTATACTTAATTAGATCCAGATGCGTGATGAACGAACGGGCGAGCTGTTCAGTTGAGAACATGAGCTTCATAGTCTAACGACAATGGAGGGATATTTTCAGGGTTTCCTTATCATCAACCGTAGAAGAAATTTGTCGTCTGAAACTGACCCATCTACAGATACACAGGCGACTCCACCGCTCCCTATTTGCGTGCATGGGTGTTGCACGTCAAGGTTGATTCTTGGCTGGCCTGATGGCTGCTTGGGTGTACGATTTGTCAAAACGTCTTCATTTCGTTCGTGTACGTAACCTGTGGCGTGCTGGTCGCGCTCTGCCACGTCTGTGGTTTTTCGCCCACATACTATCGTGCTTTTGCTTCTTTCAAAATCTTGCTGAAGTTTTCTCGGTTCATCTGTCGTCTAAGTAAGATCGATGGAGGGTCGTTACACCAAATCTCCTCGATTACTATGTTCACCAAGTTATCTTAAGCACGAAGCATCGCGAGTAGAATGGATCAATCGAGTCTGTAGGACTGTAGAGTAAGCATGCGAGCTTCATTTCCTTTAATGGAGAGGAAAATTTACATAGTCAGATGGATGTAGAGTGTCAAATAGTTTGATGAACGTGGTAGCCTTTTTGGATTTGAACTTTTTTCCTCGTCTAGACGAGATAAAAAGGGCATGGAATGGATGGAGCTACAAACCTACTACCGGGGGAGTCGCATGGACATTCAACGAAACATGAAGAGTGAAAGTACGGGGAAAAACAAGGGTGCTTTCTTGCGAAAAAGTAGGAACTTTTTGTGTATCAATTTCTAATTCTCAAAGACGAAAAAATTCGTTTTTGTCATCCAAAATTATTTTATGGAGTGAGATGTTGCACGGTATTTGTTACGTTACGCACCGATTCAATTGTTCAGTTCATCTAATAACTCATGGACCGTCATTTTTCATATGTCGCAAACCACTAAACTTTGAACCTAGCCCAAAACTTCATCCGCCATGTCTGTCTAGAATGTAGATTACCAATATATGCTTCATCGGTTTTTTCCCAGAAATCCCACGAAGGAATATCCACGGAATCTTCAACTGGGCACCTGTATCCATCAAACTATCATCATCATCATCAGTATTAGTATTATTATTATTATTATTGCTGTTGTTGGTAAGAAAGTGAAACTATTATTAATGAAACCCCCCACATGGGTCAGTCGAGATCCATCACGCTCGGGAACCACACCGCGATGCACGGGGAGATCAAGTTCAATGAATTCACATTGAAAAAAGAGATAAAACCACAGGGTTCGTTTCGTTGAATCTGGCTCTTGAACTTGCCCATCAACCTAATCAAAAAGCTTTTTTTAAAGTACACAGTCAGTCTCCGGCATTCGCGCATGTTGTCTGGACATATGATGATGAATGAATGGCCGAATTTTACTGACCCGTGAACTGACTCAGCCAATCCCGATCGAGTGAAAAGGAGGGAAGCGTGCGGCTCATCTTTTCTTGGCAGCTCACGGGGCACGCCGGATCTCTGAGGATGGCCGCTTTGATTCGAGCGCGACCGAGTCCTGCCGACGACGATACCGTGCCTGTCCATGTGCTTTTGTTCGTGTATGTTCGAACTTTAGAACCCGTAAAAAAGATTTCAGAACAAAGTACATCCCAAAAGGCTTGTAGGGAATGGGCAAGCCAGATTTGAGGAAGTGGGTTTTTTCCTTTTTGGGCTTTAGCTACCCAATCCCGCAATTCTATTGGCCTAGTTGAATATATGAGGACCGGCCCAACCGGTCGCCACCTTCGGTGATAAGCGAACGCTCTTCCCACGGTGATGGCGCTTGAGGAGCTTCGGTAGATGTAGGAGACCTTCTCTCAACTCGGGAAAAATATTCGGTGGTTCGTAACATGCACGTCACTAGCCCACATGGGGTACGTGAGCTTAGTCAGTTCCACTCAGAGGGTGATACGTGTTCGCTGACATAGATATGGTTGGAAGATATAAAATTAAAATCCGAAATGCATACGGGCTCCGTTCGTTTGGCGGAAAATATTCTCCGCTGCCGCCGCCGATCGCCCGCCGCCCCCGCCCGGCTGCCGCCGCCGATCGCCCGCCGCCGATCGCCGCCGCCGCCGCCGTCGCCGCCGCCGCGTCAGCGCGGCCGCCCGCCGCCGCCGCGGTCGCCGCCCGCCGGTCCCAGGGCCGGCCGCCGCCGCCGCCGGGTCGCCCGCCGCCCGGTCGCAGCGGCCGCCCGCCGCCGCCGGTCGCCGCCGCCGGTCGCGCGGCCGCCGCGCCGCCGGCCGACGGTCGACGCGAGCCGATCGCCGCCGGCGAAAAATATTTTCCGAAACTTTTTCATATTGGTCGCCAAACACCGGAAAATTATGTTCCGGGAAAAAATTTTCCAGGAAAATGACTTCCGGGAAAATATTTTCCAAAAAGAGAATATTTTCCGCTAAACGAACGGAGCCTAAATGCTAACATTTAGGGTGCGCATGAATACCATTCTGTGCCCGGGCGCTATTTCTGAACAGAAATGATTTTTTTATTCTCGTGCCCGAAACAATTTCGAGTATTTGAAGGCGTTTGATAAACGTCCAAAATTTCTATTCCTAGAGTAGAAAAGAATAGAAATGCGTTTGGTAACTACACAAAATTTCTGTTCCCAAATAATATTTTAATAATATTTTGAATTGTTTAATTTTTTTTTCTTTCTACTTTCTTCTTTGGCCATGGCCTGTCGCCGGCGACCGGCCACAGCCCAGGGCCGGCGAGGGCATCACGGACCTCGCCGGCCGCCGGGCGGAGGCGAGGGCGGACCCTCGCCCCGGGCGAGGCGGCGGCCTCGCCCGGAGACGACGAGGCTCGGCCTCGCCCGATCTGGCGAGGCCGAGCCTCGCCGCTGCGACCCACGGCGAGGTCGGCTTTGCCGTGGGTCGCGACGGCGAGGCTCGGCCTCGCCGGATCCGGGCAAGGCCGAGCCTCGCCGTCTCGGGCGAGGCGACCTCGCCGTCGCGACAGACGGCGAGGCTCGGCCTCGCTCGATCCGGGCGAGGCCGCCTCGTCCAGGCGGCGAGGGTCCAGCCCTCGCCCTCGCCGGCGAGGGCCGTGACGCCCTCGCCGGCCCTGGGCTGTGGCCGATCGCCGGTCGCCAGCGGTCGGCCCAGCCGAGGGAAGAACAACACAAAAATAAGAAAAGAAAAAAAAGAAAAAGAAAAAAAAACTGATTCTCAAAATTGTGCCAAGAAACAAGAAGCAACTTTTTTTTACTTCTTGTTTCTCTTCCAAAACTGTTTCTCGGCACAAATTTTTGCAAAAATGTGCCAAGGAACAAAAAATTTACCAAACGCATTTCTGTTCCCAAACTATTTCTGGGAACAAAAGAACAGAAATTTTCACTATTTGGCACGTTACCAAACGGGCCCTTAAACTCCCACTTAAAATTCTGCCTCCTCCTTTTAATTTTCAAGGGCTTCTACCTTCTATACTTGCTCTCTCTCTCTTCTTTTTATGTTTCTAAAACTCTTATGAATTATTGAATATTTTCTCATCGATTCGTTAACACACTGCTATTTCAGATTTATTTAGAGGTCCTTATCCAAAAATTAGTGCACATTTGTTTAATTCCACTAATGATTGAGATTGGCAATTTGCGTTCACGGGCTAACTTTGAATTATCAATTCGTCTCAGGTCCTGTCAATGCAAAGCATTAAAGTCTCGTTTAAACATGCTAAACAATCATATTTTTCAAATTTTTATCAGTTTACTTCACTTTCAGATTTGCAAATATACGTTTTTATGAACATGTTGAATCGTATCAAAATCGTATGAAAAGTTATCAACTTTGCTTGTAGTGTAACTACTTGGATCATTACTCATCCATGCACTGCCTTTACTTTCCGTTTGGATATGAGAGGAAAATGAGACGATGAAAATTTGAGTGCAGGACTTTCGAAACTCCAAAAACTTTTCGTGAGAAGAGAAAATTTAAAAGTTATTAAGCCATTTACTGGTGGTTGGTTGTCCACCAATTCCGTTATCAAGATGTATCGACAGCTTCTCTGAAGGTTGACAAAGCTGCCCCGATGCCTTTGCAATAGCTTTCTCGTGAATCTTTATAGGATTTGACAGTTGTTGCTTGTTGCCTTCATGAAGAACAAAGGCATCACCTGCCAACAGAAGGTGGGTGAGCATGGGACAAAGCCTTCTGATTTTGGACCCGTTGACACCAAAATAAGAATCGGCATAAGTGTCGAATCGGCTTTAATGCCGAATCCGGCGTATAATGGAAATCAGCCATCTTCCGAAACACGTCTGGACCAAATTCGGAAACATGCTTAGAAGCAAGTGTGAATGGTATCGTGTCCCGAATTCGGTAATTGATGAAAATATGTATATTTACCGAAATATGGAGAGTTATAGTTCGGGACGTTGGAATATTTATGCCTCAGGACAGCAACCCTTTCCCGAAATTCGGGAGGTTCACATTTCGGGAATACACTGAAGAATCACAGCCCAGCCATGTAAATCACGACAGCAAGAAGTTACGAGCAGAAATGGGGATAGTGAGCACGAGCATATTATGGGAAGTTACTTGTCCAGATTTGAAATCATCTTAGCGGTTGAGATCAAGTTTTGGCGGACAATAAAACTGGAAAAACGTGATTAGAAAAGGCAGTTATTGGAAGCGCCAAAATATTCAAAGTTTGAAAACATGGAGGTAACTGACGAGCAGTTGCAGGATATGAGGAGATACAAATACTCAGAGGAAGCAAAGAGGAAGAGACACGACCAACAACAATGCAAAAACACTCAAGCTTATCTGCACTTTAGTTTCCTATGCACCTTTACTTCCTGTATTTACAGCTTCCTGTAGCTTTAGTTAACTTTCAAGTTCTTTACAGCTTTCATAAGAGTATTGTAACGTAGCTCGAAATTTTGTTGACCTCAGATCCATTTCCAGTCCATTCGGTTTCTATCCATTTCATACAATTCTTTGTTACACTTTATTTTTCACCACAACTCTCCTAGTAATCAAGCCACATAACCTACCTTAATAAAAATCGAAAATCGAAGTTTCGGTGAAGGATATTCCTCGTCGTAAAACAAGCGAACATCTTTTTGCATATGTTGACACCAAAATAAGAATCGGCATAAGTGCCGAATCGGCTTTAATGCCGAATCTGGCGTATAATGGAAATCAGCCATCTTCCGAAACACGTCTGGACCAAATTCGGAAACATGCTTAGAAGCAAGTGTGAATGGTATCGTGTCCTGAATTCGGTAATTGATGAAAATATGTATATTTACCGAAATATGGAGAGTTATAGTTCGGGACGTTGGAATATTTATGCCTCAGGACAGCGACCCTTTCCCGAAATTCGGGAGGTTCACATTTCGGGAATACACTGAAGAATCACAGCCCAGCCATGTAAATCATGACAGCAAGAAGTTACGAGCAGAAATGGGGATAGTGAGCACGAGCATATTATGGGAAGTTACTTGTCCAGATTTGAAATCATCTTAGCGGTTGAGATCAAGTTTTGGCGGATAATAAAACTGGAAAAACGTGGTTAGAAAAGGCAATTATTGGAAGAGCCAAAATATTCAAAGTTTGAAAACATGGAGGTAACCGACGAGCAGTTGCAGGATAGGAGGAGATACAAATACTCAGAGGAAGCAAAGAGGAAGAGACACGACCAACAACAATGCAAAAACACTCAAGCTTATTTGCAATTTAGTTTCCTATACACCTTTACTTCCTGTATTTACAGCTTCCTGTAACTTTAGTTAACTTTCAAGTCCTTTACAGCTTTCATAGGAGTATTGTAACGTAGCTCGAAAACTTTGTTGATCTCAGATCCATTTCCAGTCCATTCGGTTTCTATCCATTCCATACAATCCTTTGTTACACTTTATTTTTCACCACAACTCTCCTAGTAATCAATCCACAGAACTTACCTTAATAAAAACCGAAAATCGAAGTTTCGGTGAAGGATATTCCTCATCGTAAAACGAGCGAACAGGACCCCAGTAAAAGATCCTGCAGCAGCTTTCCTGATCAGCACGTTAGGCAATACAGCAGCCACTAAAAGGAACAAAACTGGAGACAGTGTCCTCCTGCCTTAATACCCCTCAAAGGCTTTAACATTCCCCTCAATTTCGCCATTTGAGGTAACATTACATTACGGTTCGAAGTAGAAATCGAAAGTTTCCCAAGAAAATCCCGTTCTAATCTATCTTATGCTTTACTCATGTCTATCTTAAGAGCAGACTCCTTAGTTTTCCGTCTTTTTCTATGTTTAAGGCTCCGTTCGTTTGGAGGAAAATATTTTCCCGGAAGTCATTTTCCTGGAAAATATTTTCTCGGAACATAAATTTCCGGTGTTCGGCGACCAATATGAAAAAGTTTCGGAAAATATTTTTCGCCGGCTACCGGGCGGCGGCGTCCGGCGGCGGTGTCCGGCGACCGGCGGCGGCGGCGGCGGCGACGACCGACGGCCAACGTCCGGCGTCCGGGCGGCGGCGCCCGGCGACCGACGGCCAATGTCCGGCGTTCGGCGGCAGCCGGCAACCGGCGGCGGCGGCGGCCCGCGATCGGCGGCGGCCGGCGGTGGCGGCGGGCGACCGGCGGCGGGCGGCCGGGCGGTGGCGGCGCGGCCGGCGACCGGCGGCGGCGGCGGCGCGGCGGGCGGCCGGCGACCTTAGTGAAGAAGAAGAAGAAGAAGAAGCTCTGGAAAATGATTTCCGCTTTTGAAAAAGCGGAAGTCATTTTCCGTAGACTTAGGCTATTTTGTGAGGGGGGGAAGGAAAATATTTTCCCACATAAAACGTTTTCCGCCCCCTGAACACCGGAAAACCTGGAAAATATTTTCCGGGAGAATATTTTCCGCCAAACGAACGGTGCCTAAGATGATGAAACATTTCATGAGATACTGTGATGTTATCCTGAATCAACCTGCCAACCACAAAAGCACCTTGGTGAGAGGAGAGATCAAATTGGGCAGAAGGACCTTTAACCTATTGACAAGGATTTTTAGAAATGATCATGTCGATAGAATTACACAGGCTCATACGATGAAATCGGAAAACATCTTCAGGGAAAAAAACCTTTGGAATCAAGATGTTTTTAGTAGAGTTTAAGGACAGAGGGAGCTGACCAGACTCGAAGAAATGTTTATGACTACATTTGTCACCAGACGGCCAACTGCATCCCAATGCTTTTGATCGAAAATGCCGGCAAACCCATCAGGTCCAGGGGCCTTGAGAGACCACTAGTTGAAAAGTTTGCTGCTCTCACCTCCTCATCATGAACTGGTTGAGTTAGGACAGATTCATATCTGATGTGATTGTTGGTTCGATCTTTCTGAAAAACATCCTCCCGCTCCCTTAGCCCTTTAGTGGTGAATCTCTTCTGAATGACTAAAAGTAGCTTACCAAAATCCCCTTAATCTGCCTTTCATCCTCTATCCACTGCCCAATATTATCTTTAGCTCTAGACACCTTTTTCTCTCTCTTCTCTGTATAGATGTGGGATGAGATAAGGCAGTGTTCTTATCGCCAAAGTCGATCCAGCCAGTTCTAGTTCTCTAGTTTCAGTAAAGTTCCTCCCCGTGCTTCATTTATTAGTCTTTTAAGCTCTCTTTCCTGAGCAGGGTCAGAATCATCTGCCTCCGCTCCTAGCAGTTTAACCAGATTCCGCCTCAAATCATCCACCACTCTCCTATAATTAGGAAATTGTTTCTTACTCGAACTAATAAGGGCTTCTTTGCACTCATTCGGATTTTATTTTTCAACATAAATCAAGTCTGCTTCCTGTTCTGTAGTGCCCCAAGCCTCCATAATGAGTCTCTCACAATGCTCCTCAGTAGTCCACATATTCTGGAATGGGAAATTCATTTTTCCTTTAATGTCTTCTTGTTTTGTATGGATCACAAGTGGGCAATGATCTGACCCAGCAGCTGGTCCATGGATGATGCGAGTTCCAGGGCATAACTCCCTCCATCTGCTATTGATCAACCCTCTATCAAGCCTTTCCTTTACTCATCCTACCTCTCTGTTATACAACAAGCATATTTTTGCCCAGTGAATCCTAGGTCCTGCAATTCAGTATCAAACAACACATTTTGAAAGGCTGCGAGGTTCCTTCTTTTTGTCTGCCTCCAGATTATTCTACATTCCTTCCTCTACCTTTAAAGTCGCCCACTACCATCCATGGCATCTGATTGTTCCTAGCAATTGATTTCAGTCGCTGCCAATTCTCCATCCTCTCATTACAGTCATTACTTCCATAAATCTACGTCATTCTTACAGCACAACCAAATTCAGCACATGTGACTTCAGTATCAATAATATCCACAGACATTGCTAGCACGGTGACAGCACAACCAAGTTCACCACGACGCAAGACCTCCGCTGAGACCTCTCAGCTCAATTTGACACTTATTAGGGAATCTCAGTCTCCTTCTAGCACGTTCCACCATATCTATTTTTGGTTTTCAGTTTCTATAACAAAGGCAAAAGGACACCAGAAGTGCCACAACTTGTGTACGGCGATCACTTTGGTGCAATAACTTTTTTTCGGATCACGTTGGTGCCAAGTCGGAGGAAAATAGATCACTTTAGTGACTCCGGCCAAAAAGCTGACCTGGCATTTATATTAAAAAAAATGATCTGACTTGTACACGTGGAAATTATGTGGCTTTTTTTCGAATTTTTTAATTTTTAGAAAAATAATAATAATTGGAAAAAAAAAGGTTGCAGCAGCGGCGAGGGAGGCCTCGCCGCCGTTGCTGCTGCCAACCCACCACCGCCGGGAAGGGCTGGCGGTGGTGGGCACAGTGGTCGGTGAGGGTCGCTGGCCCCTGGCCGGGGCCCGGCGACCCTCGCCTCGCCCAGCGAGGGCCGGATCCGGCGAGGCGAGACCTTGCCATCGCAACCCAGGCGACGGCGAGGTCTGGCCTCGCCTTTGCTGGACAAGGCGAGACCTCGCCGTCGCCTGGGTCGCGACGGCGAGGTCTCGCCTTGCCCAGCGAAGGCGAGGCCAACCTCGCCGTCGCGACCTAGGCGACGGCAAGGTCCGCCTCGCCCAGCGAAGGTGAGGCCGACCTCGCCGTCGCGACCCAGGCGACGGCGAGGTCTCGCCTCGCCGGATCCGGCCCTCGCTGGGCGAGGCGAGGGTCGCCGGGCCCCGACTAGGGGTCGGCGACCCTCGCCGTTGCTGCAACCTTTTTTTTTTTTTTAATATAATATAATTTTTTTTTAAAAAAGTACACGTCAGCGGGCTAAATGACATCGTTTTTGGTTTTTAATGCCGATTGATCTCTCCGGCGAGCCATGGACCTTTCTGGTGAGCCGTGTCAACGCCACATCGGATTTCCGGCGAGCCACGTCAGCATTGGCACTAAAATAATCGTTTTTCAAAAAAGTTGGCACCAAAGTGATCCGAAAAAAAGTTATGGCACCAAAGTGATCGCCGTACACAAGTTGTGTCACTTCTGGTGTCTTTTTGCTCAAAGAAAAGACAAGCACAAAACTCCTTTTTGAGTTCCATTAACACACGACCTATCAAGGGCGACTCCACTCCTCGACAGTTCCAACTTATGGCGATCACAGTCCCCGTTGGTGTATCATCCAGGGCGAAAGTTTGAGTAAATTCAGGCTCATGTTTAATCTTGGCTGGGGTACGAGTGTGTGGGTTAGACACATGAACTATAAGAGTGTTCTGCTTAACGGAGTAAAGATGTGGGTGAGTACGATCGTTTAGGCTAATGGTATAACTGGGCTTTGGTTTAAGTAGTTTGGTTAAGAGAATAAGTATCTCGGCTGGCAGAGTCAGTGTTGCGATTAACATTCGGGTTAATCCATTTACTTGAATCCAGTAGCTAGCCTTCCTTGCCCCAGTGTCACTCGACTTTTGATTTGCTTCCCATTTTCGAAGGCAAAGGATGTAGGCACAGCTATATCGGCCGTGGACCTTCGCGGATAACCCGATCAGCACCCCTTTTGGAGCTAAATTTAAACAGGAAGAGGCCATATCAGCCCGAGCTTTCTTCAGAACATTAGTAACAGCAAATTTGTTTGCAACTTCATCAACAACATTTCTCCCCACGACCTTTAGACCCTTCTGTTTTAGGTTCTTAATTTCCAGAACCAGATGAGATTGCCGACTTGTCCTCAAAATGAGTACTCGGACATAAAAATGACGCTTGATGACGAAGGTATGAAGGTGAAATATTACCACAAGTGGAGCTAGATGATTGTCTAAGAAACAGAGAGCATTAATAAGAATCAAAGTTTCCCAAGCATCATCACAGGATCACCAAGGCTAGCAGTCCCAATAACAAAACGAACCAAAAACTGCAGACCCATTGGACTCAAATTTGTGTTTATAGGGTTAGGGAGTTCCTGGCATGATACCTTCAA